AAAACTATGATTGGAGTGGAGTGGATAGGGTCAATTGGGAAGGGTGGAACCCTTGTGACATTGCGTAACCAGTAGCAACTTAAGGAAACTTAAGGAAACTTAAGGCGACTTAAGGCGACTTAAGGCGACTTTAGGCGACTTAAGGCGACTTAAAGCGACTTAAGGTCTCAGAGTAGGCCTCTTCTAGCATCCATGATCATCTGTATAATGTACTGGGAATTTAATGACCTTTTATCGTTTTGAGAAAAAGTAAGTACGTTTATTATTGCTGGCATTTCAAGTAAAACTACGAGGTAAATGCTAGATTTCCCTAGAAAGGCTTGTGGAAGCAAACCTACCAGGTAAGAAATACGTAAAATTCTGGTATTGCTCTTCTTACCTGGTGATATTGACACTGCAAAGTATATAACGAAAAACAGTATGCCCATTGTTTCATTTTCTTTATCACGCTATTATGATTTAGAATTCTACGTCACCAAAGGTGATTAGATAAGCACCAGCTCGTGCGCACAAAGTTGTTTGGAGAGGTGATTCAGAATAATGATGCTAAAAATTTAAAGCATCTGTTATGAAAACTGGATTTTCTATTCTCCTGTACCTCGTTTAATCATTTATTTGGTCAAAACTGAAGAGAACTATCCTACTTAACGTAATTATCGAAACTGACCAATCACAACTCAAATAAGCTAACTAAGTCTTACAGTCAGTAACCAATTAACTCTCACGAACCTGACTTTTAACACTCGACTAACCAATCACAATTCCTTACTTGACAAGACCCTGATTATGATTTCTGCTCAGGTTGTGGAAACGTCAATCACTCGGCTGTCAACGACGAAATGTTCATCAGTGCAAGGTCCCACTAGTGTGGTTCATATCTTACCCTCTGCCATTGACAGAGTAACATGTTTACAAACCACCAGTATCAACATCTAGGTTGTCCTTCGCTCAAAAAAAAAAACAGTCAACGTGCTATTTGCAACATAACCAACATAAACTACTCGTCAATGAAAATGTTATGAAATATACTGAATCTGACTAAACTTGCTTCCTTTAGCTTGGTCCAATATCTAATCGTCTAAGACGCGACAATTCGAAAGGGATGATGTTTTTCCCATATTCCTATTAGTTGTGTTGTCATCTTTCTGTCAACTTAATTTGGCAAAATTTTGCCGATACGCTTTACTTCGGAGGCAAGTGCGGAGATAAATTGCAAAAAAGGGATCCCCTAACATCTTTTTGGTTGTCATGAAAAGAGTCTTCATAGACCAAATTTCAAGGAAACCCATCAAGTTTTCTTACCTTAAAAACTCGTTCAAAGAGACACATTCGTGTAAATTTATATGGAGAGGGTTTTTTTCTCGTTGAGTCCGTCCTGTGGTCGAGGGTCTAGGGTTTCAGGTCGAAGGTCGGTATTAGATCTTATTAACTTTATATGGTTGATAAGAAACTGATTGCTCCCCTCTCCCGCGGATGTAGCACTGTAAACAAGATCAGGAACTGACTGTATCTAACGTACCAGCAATCAATTTAAGGGGAGTCTAATTTCCTGGCGACTCGACCGAACTCTTCTTATTTACACGCCATTGCCAGTGGTTAAGTATTACGAACATAATATATCAAGAACGGAGAGTCACCACAAGACTGGAAATAACAAGAAATATGTATAACATAGGCAATACTAATGGCAATTTACCTGACGATTTTGGAATACGGCTGCATAAGAACGTTCTTGCGATTGCCTTTTGCTCGAGCTAACACCGTTATATTTGCATGATCCGCGCGAAAATCAAACTTATGAAAATCAAACTTGTCATTTTAGTGAATTGGCTACAAATTCACTTGTTCTCTTTATGTCTAGTTATAAAGCCTGATCATGAACTCTTTAAAAATTAATTTTCTTTCTTTTTCCCTCTGTTCTCGTCAAGCATTTTCGTGACTACGTTTCCATATCTTTCTCCCGCCTCCATACTCTTGGTCAAGATTGATTTTGCATAAGAATCAAATAAGAAATTGATTGAAATGTTAATTGTCAGAGCCCGTTTTAAATCCCATCTCGATTCATGTATTTCTATTATGTAAATTTAGACTAAACTCCTTCACAGTTTTTATCTGATTTTGTAGGCGTACATCTCTCAGCTCATTTACATTTTTTTGTTCGTCGTGGTCTAAACTGTTCACTTTTCAGGATACAAAGAACTAGAAAATATGTCTAAAGTCAGAACGGGGCCTAAATCAGCTAGGAGTTACATTTGTTTGAAAACTTGACATGGAGTGTTAGCTTGATTCAGGGTTTTTCACAACATAACAAAAGGTAAGAGTGAGAATGAGACTGAATGAAGCTTGACAGATTTCCGGCAAAGACGGAAAAATAAAACAAAACAAGAATTTGCGCAAGCAAAGACAGCAAAATAAGAAACATAAAAACGAACGAGTGTGTTCGACGATTGTGGTCTTTATCCTTACCTGAAGAAAACGCCTTCTGAAATCTTGTTTAGTTTGGACGATTCTCCGAAAATATTGACTTTGGCAAAAAGTCAAACATTTTCCAAAACTAGAGAGTAAAAAAATATATATACATAATTCGTGGATGGGAATGAGAGAAGAAATATTTAAACCATAATAATACAAAAGATTAGTTTGACAGCGAATGAAAATTACACACTCCAGTCTCTATATCTTCAGCAAGAATGATGCATGGTACGTAGTCTCTCTGATTTTCCAAGAAAAAGTCTTTTGTGATGTTGTGGTTTAAAACCACCCCAGCGGCACAATAATGAACTGACACAATTTCACCATAACAGAAACCAATTCCAATTTAGACAACGGGGAGTCAACTTCAAAAGTGTTTCTCACATACTTTATTTTCTCCCCCGAATAAGCACCAACCCTTGGGCCATAATGTCATACAAGCTCACCCCTTGAGAAAGCATTCCCTCCTCCTCACTTTCTCAGATGGTCTTATACATTAGGGATAAAAGGAAAACCTGTTGCTATTGCTTTTTTATAAATAAGTTTTTAAGCTTTAACTAGAGCGGAATCGGTACAGGATAATACTAAGTCCTCATCCGCCGCTTCGACTGAGTGTCCTCCTTGCAAAAAGAGCCCCTCCCTTTTTAGCTGAAATTTTGATTAATCGCCCGGTTCGTTATAATATCAATCAAGGAGATATGTGAACGTCGGCTACAGGTTACTCGAAAGAATAACGAGCTTAGCAAGCATATTTTGAAAACAGGGCAAGCGGTGAAAACATTCTTCAGGGAGTTGTCCGTCAAATATAGCTTTTAAAATGGAAAGTAAGCCTCGCGCAAAAATGAGAACTTTCTATAGGGAAGAGGTTTGTTTGAAAGAGCTCAAGCGTAAAGACCGATTTCTTATTAAATAGGTATTTTAATCAAGAACAACGTTTTGTTTCGACCCACAGTTTCGGGTTAACCTAAACAATTCCTCCCTTTCTTTTTTCTTTCACAGTACACGTTCCGACATGACGAGTGACTCGCTAATAAGCGCATCACTTCTGCAACTGCTGTCAGACTAATGCCACCCGGCATCACAATACACTATCAAAGTGACAAATTAAACAAAGTATCAAATAACACTAAATTAAGAGGAAGAGTCTCTTAGTATATTCTGCGTACATGCCTATGAGCAGGGAAGCGGAAAGAAGAAGTATAAAATGTGGGGCCAACGCCTTTATCTTCTGATGATACCCTGACGTCTAAAACACAGACACATCTGATTCGATATCAACTTCAAGATATCCAACAATCTTAAGAGTGGAGAAAAAAATTCCCTAATGTGAAGAAGGCTATGAAATACCATGTTACAATGACACAAAGACACAAAAGAGATAATCCAAACTGTTCACCTGAACACCCTGGCCTCCTCTCATCATCGAGGGAGGAAGAGAGAGGACCCTGGGAACGACAGAAGAAGCAGAATTCTTACGAAGTTTGGTTCAACAAAAGATATTTTTTGACGAGACTATAAATTACTTTGGTGAGATTTTAGCTCCGTCAAAAGGTTTTCCCATGACAACTACCCTAAAGCGACAGGATGGGAGACTTGAAATCCTGACCGAAG